GTGGGGTGAAGGTTTTTTTTAGACGTACCCTATTTATTTTGCGATTTTCGGATTGTACGCGTAAAACTACCCCCAGAAACGCGTTCTTGGGGGTACGTCTAAAAGACCACCCCTCACCCCCTCTGCACCTACTAAGGTGGAAAGGGCCAGTTGAAATCAGGTTCGCTCTTAGGTCTCCCCACTTATAGTACACCCCTAAAATTTCAGATTTCTATATTTATTTTTGAAGGAGAAAAATGCTCATCGAAAAAACGACAAAATCCATACGAGGGTGGTGGTTTGGTTTTTGTGCGAATTCGGCAAGAACGCGCTTTCGGGGGTAGTTTTACGCATAGAATCCGAAACTCGCAAAATGAGTAGGGTACATCTAAAAAAACCACCCGTCACCCCCTAGGGTGGAAGGGGTGACTTGAAATTACGTGCGCTCTTAGTTCTTCCCATCTATAGTACACCCCTAAAATTTCAGATTTTTATATTCATTTTTGACGGAGATATTCCAGGTACCCAAGAGCTACTACAGTCCAACTCAAGCCTACCACACCACAAGTTTTTAGTTTTAAAATGTAAGGTTATGTTTGAAATTTGGCTTTATTCATGAAATGGCGGGAAAATTGATATATATCAGCTATTAACATAAATATAATAGCTGATATGTATCAAAAATTGATATATATCAATTTGTTATATATTTTCACTCACATCACTATGTATTTGTCCTATCACCCGGGAAATTTTCCAATTAAAGCCCATATGACCCTATATAGCGCTGACAAGAACTGTGATGTTCATGTTAGAAAATAACTGATGAAATTCTATATTTTTCTGATGAACCCTCCGAAACAGAAGGGAATTTATACAACATGTTCACCTTTGAAGCAAGTTTCTTAGTAGACTTAGTCCACTAAAAGCCTTAACCTGCCTACAGTATGAACACATACATTACTTCCAGGCATAATGGCTTGCAGTATAAATGTGACCTAAATTAGTTATTGTTAAAGTTTTTGATATTTTTTATCGTATGTAAATTTACAGTACTGACATGAAAATTATATAATACTATTAGTTTTTGTAGGTAAGTTTTTTCTGTTAAATAGGTATAAAACATTGAAATAGTTTAATAGAAATGATGCAACCCGTAAAAAAAAGGAAAGGCAAGTATTGTAACAGCTTCCGAGGAATTATGTGCTGATAATAATTATCACTAACTTCCAAAAGCATCTAGACATAAACGTTAGAAACATTTTTTAGTGGATACCTTAGGTTTTACTATAAGAAGACTAGATTAATATACTGTCTTAACTGTACTTTAGCTTAGCAGCTTATGATAAACTAAGCAGTCCGTCTATTTTGCGTTATATACAAAAAAATACATATTTTTGTGCCAAACATAACATCCACATTAAAAAATAGAGTACTAAGCACAAAATAATCTATTATAACATTATATATATTTTTTAAATTAGAGATTTGTAGTAGCATAAAATATAAAAATCCCATGTATAATATCAGTCGGGGAGATATACACATTCTATCTATGTACACAAGTAGATATATAATACAAAATTGTACAAATCTTAAATAATAAAATTGGTAAAACAACTACATTTCCTTAAGTGTTGAGCAGTATCTCCTCAAGTAGATATTTGCTGAGATTTGATTATTCAAAACGGATAATGACTAAAATTAAACATTTTATTTATTACAATATAAAGCAAAAAGTATACACTTCTTTCTTCAGGAACCATAAATTGTGCATTAATAATAGCAGTCATATATATATATGGCATTATTTTACAGATACTTCAAAACTGTTTTATTACCTAGATAAATAAAGCTTATTTGTTGTTTTGACTAGACAATAGTTTTTGATCACTGCAAAAATCCTTAACAAAGACCGTGACATTATATCGTTGTTATACCCTTTATCAACATTTCCAGCATAAATTAAAAATACACATAGTCCAATTCTATAATTTACGGCTTTTTGTATTACAGAACTAAATTCAGAAGAATCATTGATTGTACAACATATTAATTATTATTTAATAAATTTAAGCAACTTTAATCAGTCTTGCATTTGTTATGTAATGGGTATACATGATAAGACATCTGTAAGGTTTCCTTTTGTTTATAATTGACCCCAACTATATAGTAATACAATAAGTTTAACCATATGATTCACTGACGTAATCAAAAAAGTAGTCAAAACTCTGACTGATGTTTCTTGTAGGATCAGGACTCGTTATATTACCATTTAGGGCACTTGCTCGATATTGCTCACTGAAGGACAACAGTATGTCGCGGATCTTTGCAATGATCTCTTCTACTCAGGCATTCGATTCCTTCAAAAGAGAAAAAAAAAATATTAAAAACTGCAATAAACTCAAATAACATCACTACTGTATAAAAAAAATATTAACAAATTGTCTATTCTACAGGAAAATGTACAACTTTTAGGAAAACAGAAGAGAAAATGGCCCTGCTACTACATTTTATTATTATCAAAGTAACATATATAGTGATCATGGAATAGCAATATTGTAAAAATTTATAAAAATTAGTATTTCATCGAAATTCTGTAAACCAAGCTGGTTTAGCTTACCTTTAAATTTTCAAAATAATGCATAATCTGGTCATAATCCATATCTAGTTGTAAATCATCTAAATTAGGAAGCTCTTCAGCAGTTTTATTTATCTCGCCATTATTTTCGTCCAAACACATGGGATTTCCCACAATTGTAGCTCTTTTCACTTCTGCACTGGTTCTATTACCTTTAACAAAAAGTATACACTTATAACATGTATAATACATTTTCAATAAAGAAAAAAAAAGTTTTTTCATTTCCAAATACCTACAGTAAAATTCACACAATACTGCGATGGTAACGGGATCACAAGAGATTGCATAGTTGTAGCCATTTTATGTTCATATTGTAGATGTGGTTGAATCTAGATTGCATTGCACAAGGAAATGTTTTAATATACAGGGTGGTCCGAATTTTATGCAGGAAACTTCGAGGGCAGATAGATCTCTTTAAAATAATAGGTGTTTGCCTTATAAACATAGGTCTAGAACTGCCTCGTTTTAGAGATACAGGGTGTTAAAGTTGTTAAAAAAAATTGATTTTTTGTTTATATGTCCGGAATCTAATAACCGATCTCAATAAAATTTGGTACAGATAATGTATGACAGTAGGCCTTGCATTCCCTAAAATGCGAGCTCTAGAGATTCAACCAGTGGTGTACAACTGGACAGGGGTCGCCCTCTTTTTATAAAAAAAACCTACGTCACTGTATTTTTTACAACATATTGTAACGGATTTATATTCTAATGCAATAAATACGTAAAAAAGGTAACTTGAATTTTTTCCCTAAGATTCGCCGTTCTCAAGTTATTCATACCAATACCTACCTACCTACCTTGTGGCAGACATTTCAAACCATAATATTACAAGAATATTTATGTTTATGCTTGAAAGTAATAATTCAAATAGATGGTTTTCTAGAGAGTTTAGAAATTTTTGGGAATTTGGATGGTAGCAAGAAAGGTCCACAAACTTTATTGCGAATTATTCCGAGCCACACTTTCACAGAAAATTCGTCTTGAAAAGATCTTGTTCGAATTTCATGAGGATTGAACGTAGCTTCATCGATCCAAAGTATTTTTAGTAAGAATTCTGGATTATGTTGTGACTTTAACAACCACTGACAAAAATTCAGGT